TAGGAGCTGAGAGAGAAACTCTGAACCTGCTCTGTAAACCTAACTGCTCTGCCCTGCCTTTGCCAAGCCCTCTGCCTGCCTTCAGCCTCTGGACCCTCCCGGTTCCCCCCTTCTACCGCTCTGCTCAAACTCTGATCAGGTATAGACCTGCAAACGCACAACCTGCAAGTTCACTGGATGACTGCTAACCAATCTGTCCCTCTCTGCATTAAACCAGTCGTGACCAGACCCGGACCCGATTTATCCCAGAACCACTGTGACATAATTGTGAACTGTTCAACAAACCTTGTTAACTTTTTCCCAGCCTCTGAGTGCTTTGCATGTGGGTTAGATCCCTGAAAGCCAACATGACAGAACACTCTGGCCAACAAACTAAACCAGCAGACACACTCCGGAGGGTATTGGATCAGCAGGGAGCTCTCATCCAAAACCATGACACCGCTCTCCGTGAGTTTAACATTCGTCTTGATCAAACAAATCAAACTTTGCAAGAGTTAGTCGGCTATTTCCGTGAAGCTACTCCCAGAGCGGAGCCAGCTCAACTTCCGGTTCCGGAGGCGAATCCGCCTATCAGATCAGAACCCTGTCCGTCATTTTCGGAGTTCCGCCCCTCACTTCCGGAAAAATTCTCTGGCTTACCAAGTAAGTGCAAGAGATTTCTTTTTCAATGTAAGCTGATTCTTGAACACTCTCCTGCCAGTTTTCCTAACGACAAGAGAAAAATCGCCTTTATCATATCTCAGTTATGTGGAAGAGCCCTTGATTGGGCAGAGGCCCAATTTCTTTCTGAATCCAGTTTTTCCTGCACATTCAAGCAATTCTTAAAAGAATTCTCGTTAGTTTTTAACCATGACTCTGACCAAAGTACTGAATCTCGTGGTTTATTAAACCTAAAACAAGGAAATAGGTCCGTAGCCGATTTTTCGATTGACTTCCGGGTCAAAGCCGCTGCTTCCGGACGGAATGAACCCGCGCTTAAAAGCGCTTATTTCAAGGCTCTAGATGAGACAATAAAAGATGAACTGGCAACTATAGATGAACCATTGACCCTGGAGGATTTGATAAGATTAACCATTCGACTGGATAATAGGCTTCGAGCCAGACAAAGATCTAAAGTAAGATCCCACGGTTGCTCTGTTTCTGCCCCTGCAAACAACCTTAATACCACATCTGTTTGTTCCTCATTTTCTGAACCTGACTCCAGATCTAGGAACCGAAATCAGCCTGCTTCTGTTTTTTCCTCTAAATCTCATGATGTTTCTCCACCAACAGAGGTTTCCGAAATCAAGCCCATGCAAATTGGTCACACCAGACTCTCGACAGAAGAGAGACAAAGGAGAGTTAAGGGGAACCTGTGCATGTACTGTGGAGAACCTGGCCACTTTGTTTTAAAGGGATAGTTCGGGATTTTTGACATGAATCTGTATAGCATCCCCATCACCAGTGTCATGCAATC